ATAATTACCGCTTGATCATGAAACAAGATATGAAAAACGTTCCGATGCTCCAGATCATAATGAGTTTCAATCAGAAGGACTACTCTCAACTTCTAAAAAGGTTTGTTGGATTTGTTGGTTGCGTCGACTGTATCCCAGAATGGTGCCATAATATTTTCTTTGTATTTCGTATTTTGAGGGCGTGTTGCGCGTTTTGATGAGGTGAATAAAAAAGAGAATCAATGAACTCTTTTGTACACAATGTATGTCTACATGTTTATCTCAACCGAAATTTTGGAATGATTTTGTTAGTATAGTTACCGAATTATGATGATTCTGTTTTTTTTTAACGACTCTTAATAATTATTCTGCGTGAATTACGCAGAATAATTCCATACTGAAGATAAAATACAGATAAAGTGTGAGATTTTTAAATTGGTTTCCACACATGGGAAATCAATGGTGTTGTTGACCAGTTATTTAAAAATTTTCATAAATGATTTATTGATCATTCTTTTTCAATATATATATATATATAGATAGATTATCGATCGGGTAACAAACCAGATGAATATTTCAAATATAGAAACATAGGTTTGAACGAATTAGTACGAGATGAAAAAAAAAAACAATTTCTCTTAGAACATAGGTTAAATTTTGAAAAAATCCAAAAATTATTAAGTATTATTAAATACGTTGATTTATAGGTTGGGTGCAGATAAAGATTCGCATGGATTTAGATAGTCCATTAGAATTACAAACTACAAACAAAAAAATTAAGTACAAAAAAAAAGGGCTATAAATCAGACTTTCTTCACAACACCCACACACACACACACACAAAACTTCCTCAAAATACAGAAGAATATCGTTATACATACAGATTTTCTATATCTATAAGGTTCCCCTCCTCTGGAGCATACACGCAAGAAAATCTCATCTCTCCGAACACAGTACACGGGAATAGCCTGCAAACACAGAACGCGCAACGATTGGTTTTTGGTTTCTAGAAAACTCGCACAGCGCACGATTTTGACGGAGTCCTGAAACGACAGCGCCACCCGAGGCGGCGTCGAGAGCAAGGACTAGGGTTTGTTTTTTCTTTCGTACGTATGAGCATCGGGGGTAATCGTTTTCGTTAATTCCAATCCAAGAATTTGGGTTCAGTCTATTGTTGAAGTCATTGATATACAGTGGTTCTGATATTTGGCTACTTTTTTTTCTAACATTGCTTGGGTTCTCGAACCCTAGGATTCTACGGTATTGTCCTTTTTGTTGGCAGGATGGATTTTAGGGTGTAGGGTTTGAATATTTTGGGGTATTTATTTGATGGGTTGTTTTTGAGGAATTGCTCTGTTTTTGCCAGAGGGGAGTATTTTTTCCAGTTGTTGGTATATGAGAGTGCTCTTGGGTCGTTTCCTTGAGCACTTAGTCCTGTAGGAGCGAGCAGTAACAGCCTTTGGCACTGCTGTTTGTTTGGGAAGTGAATGCTGACAGAAATTAAGAATTTTCAACTCAGGGATAGAGGATTTCTTGATTGACTGCATGCCGAATATAGTAGTTGTACAGCGAGTTAAGAGAGGAAGAAACCCTTGAAAAAACCTGTAAAGGACAGTTCAGATTCTTTAATTTATCCTCGTGTTCTTGGTGAACTTTTACGAGTTGCTTGGAATTTTCTTGGTGCGTCCTCGGTACTTTTTTCTTGAAGCACCAAAATTAGGGTACCAACGCAAGACAGGTGGCGTTAGTGTATACTAGACGCTAAATTTGGTATAAAGTTGAAGTCTAATATTAGTCCAAAGGGACTTTTTAATTCTATGGGGGTACCCGTTGGCACATCACGGTTGATGCGTGTGTCATTAATTGGAAAAGCCTTGTTGGGTTTCTTTCCCCTTTTTACTTGTGTATGATAATGTTTGGCACGAGTTATGGAAAGAAGTGAACCTACCTTTGTACCAGAATGGTTGAAAAACTCTGGTTCAACTGGTGGTGGCTCTAAATCTCATACAGGTAGTTATTGTCGTGTCTGCGATTAACCAGTTCAAATACTTCTGTAGTTTTTCTGGATTTTTTTTTCTTATTTTTTTTTCTCTTTGTTCTTTATTTCTTTTTAGATGATCACGCCGCAGCAAGGGTTTCGAGGAACAAGTCCTTTGTGAATAATAATGGCCACAATTTTAGACGATCTTCTAGTTCTGAGAGAACAACCTCTTCATTCTTCCGCCGGAGTTCTAGCAGTAACAGTTCTGGTAATTTTAGGACTTACAGTAGTTTTGGTAGAAACCAGCGTGACAGGGAATGGGAGAAGGACACTTATGTTTATCGTGACCAAAACAAGTTGGCCAAGGGGAACTATAAGTATCGAGAATTTTCAGACCCTCTTGGGAACACATCAGTGGGTAAGTTTGAGAGGGATGGGTTAAGGCGTTCGCAGTCGATGGTTTCAGGGAAACGTGGGGACACATGGCCTAAAAGGGTCGTGGCTGACTTGAATGATGACACTAGAAAGAATACGAGTGGTGTGGCCACCAGGGGGAAACCTGTTGGCATGGTGAACAAAGCAGCTTTCGAGAGGGAATTTCCGACGTTGGGTGTAGAGGAGAGGGCTGTCATTCCTGAGGTCGGTAGGGTCCCGTCTCCTGGTTTGAATGCCGCCATTCAGAGATTATCTGCCAACTCAGCTTTGATAGGCGGTGAAAAATGGACATCGGCCTTGGCTGAGGTTCCAATTTTGGTTGGGAGCAACGGAGTCAATTCATTGCTTGTGCAGCCTGCAACTTCGAGTTCTGCCTCTGTGGCATCGAGCTCTACCAACAGTCTCAACATGGCCGAAGCTGTAGCTCAGGGTTCTAGTCGTGCTCAAACCCCTCGGGTATATTGTGTCTCTTTCTCTTTATTTTTTTGGGGTGTAGGTGTGTGGTGATCTATTATTGAGTATGTTAAATTACATTATTGTCGTTGTAGGTGTTATATTGTTGTTATGTGTCATTGTAGTTATCTGTCGGAACCCAGAGACTTGAAGAATTGGTGATCAAACAATCCAGGCAATTAATTCCAGTGACACCATCCCTGCCAAAAACATTGGTGAGTTTGGAGTATATTGTATTCAAGTTCTAGCTTATCATGCCTTAGTTTTCTCCTTGTATATCAGTTCTCTATAATTATTAGTATTCTTCTTTGTGGTTCTGTTTTGTCACGAATAGTTGAACATAGTCTGATGTTTCATGTGGTTTGGTGGGTAAGTAAATACAGATAGCTTCTTGTTTTCCCTTGATTATGTAATGAGAACACTTAAGGGGAACGGGATTTTGAAGTTTCCTATTGCTGCCTCTAGCCCTCAATGTCTGGATATTGTTATTCTAAATATTAATTATGCTATCTTATTGTAGGATATAATAGAAAGGGGATTGGTTGTGTATCTGTGAATTAGTCAGTCATGAGTCATCAGTGGGCTGGACAAATAAATACATGAAAGAATACCACTAGAATTTAACACATTTGGTTATCATCTATTCTTATGTTTATGTTGTCAATAGTGAGGCAAATTAAAATGTAAAAGTGGATGAGGTTAGAGTTAAACTAGATATGTTCTTGGTATTAGTTAATGAGACTTGCTATAATATATACTTGTATCAGTTTTATGCACAGCACTTGGCACCAAATTATAACCCTTGGCATTCCTTTATTGTAGTTAAGAGGAGTTAAACAATGGCGCAATCATGTCTTATTGTAATTTTTCCCTTCTAAGAGAGATCCTTACAAAAGTGGATTACGCAAACAACAACAAAACAACAACAACATAGCCTTTTTGCACCAAATTATAACCCTTGGCATTCCTTTATTGTAGTTAAGAGGAGTTAAACAATGACGCAAAATCATGATTTAAATTTTCTTAAATGCTCAATCAAATAGTAAAGAATGTGGGCATCGAAGTTATTTATTATTTTAACAGAAGTAGAGTAGAGAAATTGTGAAAGTCTTAACAAATAGTAACTTTTTAACATATTATCCAAGAATAGCCTCTGCTGGTTGAAGCATCTGCTTTCTCTCACAACAAATTTAGGAAACCTGTTACTTTTATTTACCGTTTTATGATTATTTTCTTCCAAGATGTAGATGTTTTGAGTAAATATGTACATTTCTATTTACTCTTGCGTAATGCAAAATCTCCTCTTTCAATTTTTTTTTTTTTTT